AAAATCTGAAGAAATCCAGCCCGCAGTAATAACAACAACAAAATTACATTTGTATAGCGCCTTTCCCATCAAGTTTACATGCAGACTCCTGAATGAAAGCTGCTGTAACATTCCAGTATATTTATCCTCTGGTAATCTCAGGTTAGTGGATTATATTTCTAATAAAGCTATTTCTAATAATAATTCTAATAATAATAATAAAGGGCATGGAATGAACACTAAGTCTAGGTTACATAGGGTTATATAGTTAATTTGCTTAACCGCTTGAACTGGCGTATCCATAGCAACCTTTGCATGTGAGGCAAAGTATGTTTTATTAACTGCCTTCATATTAGTGATTGAAACACAATCTGAACATTATTTAAGATTTGCCTCTTTGACTGCTTTCCTTCCCCCACCCCCCCTCAGCTCGGGTGCCCAGCTAGCTGTGCAAAGCACTTTGAGACATCCTCCCGACATTCAAGGCGCTATATAAATGTAAATTGTACTGTAATTATATTTTATTACCCACACAATGTGTAGCAAAATCAATGCAGTATATGTTAAAATGATGTATATTTACGGTTCATTAATATGTGTTACATTTAATACTGTATTTTGTAGGTTTTGCCTGATTATTTGCTGGGGTGGGAGGAATGATCAAGTAGAAATCTCAGATTTTTCCTTTCTTGGAGAGTGGCTATCACACAAGTGTGATGTTAAAGTCACAACTCAATAAAGAGAGCTCAGTCTTTGATTAAAAATGTTATGCAGTTCACGCTTGTTGCAGCGAGAGAGGAAGGATCATAGAAAGTAAGAGATGGAAGCAGAGTTCTGCTCTCTGTATAGTCAATTCTACAGTATGTATGGAACTGTTTGTCCTTGGACACACACCAAGTTTTCCGGGAATGCACAAAAGAATGCTACAGTGGAGTCGTCATTGGGTCTAAATTAGTGGTGTCCAACTTTTTGGGTTGGCCAACAAAATAATCATAGAAATAACAGAATAGCATAGATTCATGCCATAAATCAAGAATTATTCCAACAAGAAACATAAACTTGGTATTAGTGTAATCGTGCTATCTCAATGGACCTGGCTTTATACACTATTTGCCCCATACACTTCTTCATTACACACAATCGCATTGGCACAGATGAATCTACATGTAAAAATTCAGCAGCCATCCAAGATGCAAAGAGCTCAAAGTATATCTGATTCTTTTGGTTGAAATATAAAACTACAGCAACAACTTGCATTTATATAGCGCCCTTTACACAGGGTAGCATCATGGAGCGCTTAACAATAGTGGAGCTTGTTGCAGAGTCAAGGAGAGAGGGGATGTGGGCTTCGAGGTCAAAGAGGAAGGCCTTCAACTGAAGAGGGACAAGGCAGAGTGATTGAGGCAGAGAGTACAATAAATGCACAGAAGTGTTTGAAATCTCATACAGAACTTAACCCCCGATAAATTTGGTTGTTCACTTCCTGATTGTTTGTAGGGCATTGCTCTGCGCAAATAGGCAGCCGACTTGCCTATAAAATACATAGCTTTACAGCAAATCCTGTGAAGTACTGTGAGATATCCTCTAACATGAAAGGCGCAGTATCAAATGCAAGGATTTTTTGGGGTCAGCCGGGTGTCTGACACATATAAAAACCCATCACCTATGTTTAAGAGTATCCAAACCAAATTAAGAATTCCATGCATCCCACCTACACATGAAAAATGTCAGTGATGTTTGTTGGAATGCAATGTGCACTGCCTCCCTGGAGGGACGCATTCTGCTTACCTAATTCCGGAAAGTATTAGGCGCAGGTTAGCAAGAGCCAAGGCTTGGGGATCCCAGAGTGTGTGTTGGGGTAACTGCTGGAGTCTAACCAGATAAAACTGCATAGCTTGACATTGCATTGTCAGCACTATCTGGCAAGCTTTCCCTCTGCTTGTCCAGCTAGGACAGCCCTACCTGTTAGGACTTTGGCTTGCAGGGTTAACAGGAGCTGAGTGCTAAGAACTTAAAATGTCACTACGGGCACCTAAGTTAAATATTATATATTATTATATTATGTATCAATCCACCATGTGACATACAGCAGGTTGTCAAATACAGTTCTGAGACTCTGGGTGGAGCAGGTGACCTTTTTTTAATATTTCTTTGGAGACTATTGCACTCATTTTAATAAAGAATCACTTTCCCTAGGCATTGATCCATAATCTTGATAGGGAAGAGACTTGATGCATTGGAGATCAAAAGCAATCAAACACAATCACAGGTCATCTCACTTGTCAGTGTGAAATATCAATTCAACCATACAACCAAGTAAAGTCCTTTTAATATATTAATAAGACTTTTAATAGTTAATAGGTACAGACATGACTGGCTGCATGGATGCCTTCTGTGCCATAAATGTTGATGGTTCTATTGTTCTAGTTTTATTGAATATTTTCTGAATATTTCATAGTTCTTTTAATAATAATTTAATACACTAAAATCTGGACAGAGGGTGTCTGAACTTTAATCTAGAGCAGTTGGATCAAATCATGGTGTATGATCAAGAAAAGCAACATCCGACAATAAACAACAGGTTGTCAATTATGATCAGAGTCCAGAGAAGTCTTTATTTGGGAATAGCAAATACATTGAGAGTGATTTTAAACTTTTCGAATGATGATTTTAAAACCTATTTGTATAGTAAAAAGCACAATGACTCCATCTAGTGGCCTTTACCTCTTGTATGTGTGGTTTTGTCTCCTAAACTGAGATTATACGTTGTGAGTCCTCAAAATTAAGATTCAGTGGTGCTCAGTTGGTGCATCCTTCTCATAGTTGGCAAATATTGACTTGATATAGGTCAACAGGAACAAAGACTGGTGTGTGAAACCTTTCTGTCTTGTTTCATCCCCCAGCCGTTTTAAACAGATATTCTTCCCTCCACCCACACCATTCTGAAAGAGAGAAAAACATAGGAATTTAAGAAGACAGGTACAGAAAGAAACTTAAATCGTTCAAGCCTGCTTTTCGTTAGATTTTGGCAGATGTTTTAAAACTTCAATGCCTCACCTTACCTCTAAATACCTCTCCTACCCAAGCTCTCCTATCTGTTAGTAATAGATGTTCCTGTTGATCCCTATTGATTCCACCTCTACAGATTTCTGGGGTGGAGCTTTCCATATTTTCCTAACCCCCTGTGTGAAGAAATGCTTCCTGACCTCATTTCACATTGTCTTAGCTCTGATTTTAAAGCTATGACCCCCCCCCTTGCAATGGATCCCTCTCTTAAGGGAAAGAGTCATCCACGATCTAACCTGTCAACTCCTTTCGCTACTTTTAACACCTAAATCGAATCATCCTTTAACCTAATATGCCCTAAGGAATATAACACCAGGCTCTCACTGTAGCTCAGAAGAACAGTACTATGTGCAGTTACCTAATCAGAGTTGAGAAAGGGAGAAAATATAATTTTGTTAGGCACATCAAAAACGGCAGTTTGCTTTTCCTTTTTGCTATTAAAATAAAGATACCAAGATGTGTGTGGAGGGGATGGGTCTAAATTATTTATTCGATAACAATAATAAACTGCTGGATGGAGCTTTCTGTGTTTAGCACACAAGTTAGAAGGGATACTGTAACATGATATCACATGGACCATTTTAACTGAAGTATTTTGCTTGCTGAATGTAAGTGGATAGAATAACAACAACGTATTTTATATTGCGCCCCTCATGCAAGGTAGCGTCCCAGAAATCTTGACAACGGTGGAGCATGACACCGAGCTGGGGGGAGGGGAGATGATCGTAGGCGCAGTCGAAGAGGAAGGTCTTCAGGTGCGACCTGAAGATGGGGAAGGAAGGGGCAAGGCGGAGGGATAGAGGAAGAGTGTTCCAGAGTTTCCGGGTGTAGGGGCTGAAAGTGCAGCCAAATGGAGGGCATGAGGGACATGCAGAAAGTTGGAGTCAATAAAGTGGAGGCAGCCGGTTGTGGGTTGAATCATTGAAGAATAATACAAAGTGCAAAACAAACATCCAAAGCACATTTACAGAGTTTATTGGTCACCACGAACAAATTCTGAGTAAGTGCAACAACAATAAGGTACAATAGACTGTTAGTGTTGTTATGAAGTATTGACTAACAATTCATTGCTGGCTGCATAAATGTATTAATTAAACTACAGAGTTCTTGTGAACAACTTTTCACCACAATTTGTGAAGGCTAGCTTGAGCAAATAATCGCCTCATAAAACACTGCTTTGTGTTCACACTCAGGTAAGGTTTGAGCAGTGTAGCACCACAACAACAAAACCTGCACTTGTGCAGGACCTTTCACATAGGAGAATGCCCCAAAGAGTTTCAGATACTTAGTGGGAGCTGAGCAGAATGGGAAATAGTTGGGGTAAGAAGGAGGTGCCTGAAGGTACAGTCAAAGGGACTGTTTTAAAAGCAGAAAAGCAGAGTGCGGATGGAGGGATTTTGGGAGCAAAATGTAGAGTGTGGTAGGAGTGCAAAGTGTAAACAGAAGTGCATGGTAGAGAATGGAGAGTCATAGTGTTTCTATTACTTTTGGTGTCTCGTATAATAAAATGGCGATAGAAAGGGAAGTGCATCAGAGCTGAGGATGTTGGTATTCAATAGGAATAGTAAGTATGAGGAAGAGACTCCCAAATCCAGTATTAGGCAAATGCACACTCTGGGATCTATAAACCTTGGTTCTTGCCAACTGGTACCAGCTCTAAGTAAGCAGATTATGCCCTTCTGGTGAATGGCTGTGCACTCCATACAGGACAAAGTAGTTAAGATGCTCTTAAGCACAGCAATAGGTTTCAGTCAAATGCCCAACTGATCTTATTAATGTTTTTACTGCTCAGGTGCTCACTTCAGTTCCCTTTTTGAATAATTTAACTGGCCTCAATAGCTAATTACAATAATGAATTCTACACCCTAACAACCCTCCGAATGAGGGTTTCCATCTTAGCTGTTCGTTAATTCTAACAGAATTAATTTGGAATATTTTGTGGCTTTGTTTTACAGGAACAACTGAATTCTCCCACCACAGATGCCATTGAACCTAGCAAGAGGGCATCATTTTCCTAATGGCTCCAATTACTGATGGACTTGTAACAGGGATCCTTGATAGTGGACAACACCAAATGATTCTCTGGGGTGTCCTGACAGTTGCCTCTGCCTTTCTCTTTTTGTCCCTCCTCACGTTTCTGTGCAGCAGCTGTGACAGGTAAGGCAGAATCATTTCCATTAGTGTGGTATCATTTGAGATATTGGCAAACCAGATTTGTGCCGAGAATTGTAACTTCTGGCTTGCGGATGTCAAAAGCTATTTACACCAGAGATTCGGCAAATGTAGCTAATCACAAATGCTGAGAGGTTTCATCCTCCACGTTTCTGAGATTCAACAACAACTTTGATTTATATAGCGCCCTCCACGCTGGACAGCGTCTCAGAGCGCTTTACGATAACGGATCCCGGGACCGAGCCAGGGGGAGGGGGAGGAAGGTGACCAAAGGCTCGGTCTTCAAAGATCTTCAGCAGAGACCTGAAAATGGTAAGGGAGGGAGTGAGACGAAGGGAATGAGGTAGGCAGTTCCAGAGCCTCAGGGCACAGTGGCTGAAGGCACGGCCTTCGAGGGTGGAGCGGAGGACTCGGGGGACGAGGAGGAGGCCAGACCCGGAGGAACGAAGGCAACGGGTACAGTTTTGAGGAGAGAGGAGGTCAGAGAGGTAGGGGGTGCAGAGGAGTGCAGGGACTTGAATACAAGGGTGAGGATCTTGAAATCGATCCTCTCTGGGATAGGCAACCAGTGCAGTCTGGCAAGGACTGGGGTGATCGGGGAGCGGAGTTTCGTGTGGGTGAGAATGCGGGTGGCAGAGTTTTGAATGATTTGGATTTTATGGATGGTAGTGGATGGGAGACCGGCGAGGAGAGCATTAGAGTAGTTCAGCCGAGAAGTGACAAAGGCATGGACATGGGTTTCAGCTGCTTTTGGGAAGAGGTATTCGCGGAGACGGGCGATGCGTCGGAGTGGGGGGGAGAATTAGGGGAATTGACGTTTAGCCATTTTGCCAGTCTTCCAAAAGCCTTCAATATTCGCAAATCCAAAGTTTCAGTAAACGCTATGTTTTACAAATATAATATATAATAATAATGTCTGCATTTGATATAGCAGCCTATTTTGTTGTTGTGATGTCTCGAAGCGCTTCATAGCATTTACTGTAAGATATAGTGTATCTTATAGGCAGACGGAACCTCGGTTAACTTGTCATCTGGGTATCGTATATTAGAGCCAAAACACCCTTCTTATCGCTGTGGTTACATGTTATGGGAGGTGTAAACTGAGGTGCATTAATCTATGCTGCTTTGCTGGTATCATCCACGTTGCACTTGAAACTATAGAGCCATATCTGCTTGCTTCATTGTTGACTACTGTTGCTTGTTATTCTCTGTCCAAGTGTGGATGTTGACACTCTTGAGTGCCACAACCTGCTGCGTCCGCTCTGACTGGTTCTGACCTTCTGCATGTCCCTCGTGCCCTCCGTTCCACCATTGGTAGTCATGCTTTCAGCCACTATGCCCTAAAAATCTAGAACACCCTTCCTCTATCCCTCCGCCTTGCCGCTTCCTTCCCCATTTTCAGGTCGTGCCTCAAGAGCTTCCTGTTCGACCTCCCCTTCCCCCTGACTTGGAGTCGTGCTCTGCCACTGTCAAGTGCTCTGGGACGCTACCCTGTGTGAGAGCGCTATGTAAATGCAAGTTGTTGTTGAGTGCTCCAGATTATAGAGGAAACTGGAGCTTCCAGAGGGTGAATCCAACTTCATCAAAAAAAACTATGTTACTTGCACAAATCCACCATCTGAAGATAGAGCGTTTTTAATGTATATGGGCTGCTGTGCCCATTCCAGCTGTTACACTGATCCCAGTAGCTCCACCATCAAACCACCTGGGTGGTTTTCCTGGGAAAATGGTGTCAAGTCTTCAGCTGTTAACTCTAGAGTTTTCACCCTGAATTAAACTAGTGCAACAATGGCATTAAATTGCTTTTTCCCTCCCCTCATGCACAAAAAAATTCCCTCAACGTTTGACAGTTTCTTGATAGTCAAGACATTACAGCTGGATTTGTGTTGTCATTTAGCAACAGTTCATTTGTAACAACTACAATTTGGATCCAGTGAGTTTAGGCTGACTATCAATTTAACCTTTTCCCACCAAATTGATTTGCTATTGTGTTCCAATCTTTGACTGTCATTTGATATAAAAGAGCCTGTTTAGCGCTGAAGTGTAACTTTTTGAATGACACGAGGAATATTTCAGTAATGCACTCAAAATTAATTCATAGAACAAAATGGAACACTTCCTGACAGTTATTGCACTCTCTGTACAGCAAAAAAAAATAAGAGTCCTGGGCAATCTAAATGATAATTAACCCCTAAAAGTGCCCATTACGGTAGGTTTTACATGACCTATATTGCAGCCTCCTCCTCTTGAGAGTAAGGTATTTACTGGATTACAGGCTTTACCTGGAGAAGTCTGCTTCCAGTAATTCTACAATAATTTTTCCTTCATTCTCGGGTTGTGTTTTTTATTTGAAATGGGCAGCGAGACACATCCACCATTGATGTAGCATTTTGGTTTGGCCATATTCATTTCCAGATTGTCAACACAGGATTGTGAAAATAACAACTTGCACCTATATAGCTCCCTCCATGCAGAGTAGTGTCTCAGAGCGCTTAACAGTGCCAGAGCCTGACTCCAAGGTGGGGGGGGTGGCGCTGGTATTGTGGTTACTCAGAGCCTATTATGGGGATTGTTGGTTTAATCATATAATAATAATAATCCTTGCATTTGATATAGCGCTTTTCACATCTTCTAGACATCTCAAAGCGCTTCACAGAATATGCTGTAAAGTGAATTGACTGTATATTTATGGGTGAAACGCGGCAGCTAATTGTGCACAGCAGTGTCCCACAAACAGTCGTGGATTGAAAATGACCAATTTATTATTGTTTTTTTTGGAGGGATTATTATTAGGCGTGTGGCGAAAGGAAACTTGCCCAAGGTTTCTCCCAGGTCTCTCGCTTGCAAGGCGAGTGCTCTAACCACTGAGCTACAGGACTCCACAGGACATTTAACTAGGACATTTGTCTTTCATTTATGGAACACAACACACTAGAGCGTTGTATTACCATACATAAAATGCTTCTCCTGCGGGTTACCTTTATAAGGTGAAGTACTACCAAAAACCTACTGTCATGCTTGAATGTACAACAAGTGTGCACAAAGGGGCTATTTAGCTATCTAACAATTATATATTTATTTTGTTGCTAGACAAATGAAGTCTCCAGAACAGAATGGGGATGACGAGAACCTGATGAGTGTGGTACGTGTTCTACAATCTTGACATTCAATGACAATCCACTGTATGTGCCAAAGATCAAAGGGTGTGTTCCAATAAATTAACCACTGAGATAAATATTGCGCTCTGTAATCTTTGCAACCCCTTTCAAGGTCCGACCATACCTCACACCCAATAAACCCAAAACCTTCGTCTGCGCTTTTGTGATTTTACACCTCGACTAGTCCAATGCCCTCCTCACCGGGCTCCCCAGCTCCACTACTCACAAACTACAAATGATTCAGAACTCTGCTGCCCGCATTCTCATTCACACTAAACTCCGTATCCCCATCACACCAGTCCTCCCCAGGATCCACAGAGGATCAAATCTAAGGGTGGATGGCACTGTTTGTGAATATGTGCAGAAAATATGGAGTTTGGGTTGTTTTCATTGTTTGGCATACTTCAGCGTGGAGGTGTGCAGCCGGGACATTCTTCACTTCAATGGAACATTTCTATAGTAAATGCTGGGTAGCTGGTCAACATTATTGCAAGAGTATGACAGTGTTGACCTTCTGCAAATCAGGCAGTCAAGTTACTGCATTAAGAGTTTTTGCAAGCACGCAATATACAAAGTTTTACATAGGTAGCAAATAAAATCCTGTGAAGCACTTTGAGACATCCCCTTGATACAAAAGGGGCTGTATCAAATTCAAGGAGTATTTAATTATTTATTTAACAGTGAAAAGACCAGATCCAAACCTTGGGCTTCTGGATCTGTAAGGCTCAGTTTCACATTGAAGCAGAATTGGAGGTCTAATTTGCAATATTTCTTAACAGATTTCTTAATGAGTGTGTATAATCAAAGACTATTAAGTTTCAAATTAACTTTTTTTGCTGCTACATAACTGATGTACAATTGTACTTTTCAGCCCTCCGAGAAGGAAACCCAAAGTTATTCAGTTACAAGTTTTGGGACTGATCTACCGGCAAATAGTTGTCAAAATGGGACCCTCACAAATGGAGATGGTAAGCCAGCAATATATAGCGGTTAATCATCTGGTAAATTTTTAAAGATAAATTCTACAAAAGTTATCTCTTTTTCTAAAAGAACCTGTTAAGCAACCTTTCACACTCATTATATACTCAGGCATTGGGCACAGCTTGGATTTGTAAAACCATTTTTTTAATGAAACAAATTCATAATGTTCTACTTTTGGTTTGTATTGAGTTAGCTGATCGCAGCCCAGACTGAGAATTGACCCCAACAACAACAACAACTTGCATTTATATAGTATCCTTCACGCAGGTGGGGCTTCTCGGAGACCTTGACCTCAGTAGGAAGTGCTAAAGAGGACAGATGTTAATTACTATCCAGGAATTCCTAGTGGAAAGTGCACTGAGCTGTGACATCCATCATGGTGTTGCAGCCTTCTGACACTCAATGAAAAAAGACATTTAGCAGAGGGTGGTCATGGAAGCAAACCCCAACAAGAGGCACCGTCATCGTAAGATTTACATAGAATTACTCAGCACAGAAATGGGCCATTCACCCCAACTAGTGGGTGATGAAGTTTATACTCCTCACCCATCCTATTCCCCTCTCCCATATACCTCTTTTCCCTTCGGCCTCATGTATGCATTGTTTTCCTTTAAATATAGTGATGCTATTTGCTTCAACCACAGCTTCGGGTAGATGATTCCCACATTCTCACTCAACTTATATTTATGGCCTCTGGTTTTGGACTCACTGATGAGTGGAACGAGACCAGCAACATCTATATTATCAAATCTTTTCATATTGTTAAAATACAGCAGTAACAATAGTTTTTGTACAATGGGTGCATTCAGAATTTTGTCTTTAAAATATGTAAATATACATCTGTGTATATGTATTTGTGAGAGTTCATCAGGTGCTGAGATGAAGGTGCATCACGTTACTACAACAATAATTTTACATTTGTATAGCACCTTTCATGTCAGTATGGCATCCCAAAGCACTTCACAGAATCAGCTGGGTTGCCCAATGGTACACATAGACTTTTGGAGCTTGGCTTCCATTTTGATTCTTCAGTCATCGCCATAGTTTCATTCTCTGCTCATTTTCTATTCATTAAATGTATTTAAGTAGTTTTGATTTGACCTCATTGACCCTCCTAAGCCATTATTGCTTTTTTGTGGTGTGTCCTTGTTAAATCAGGGCAAAGTTGGAGTCCTACTATTAAAGAATCTGAAGTAGCCACATAGAAATATAGATTTTTAAAGTAAACTATTGGTAATACATTTTGATTTGTAGTTCTTTCAGGTGACAGTGCAACTACTGATGTTCAGCCTTCAGGCGATGAACTGCCTCCTGATGTAGCAAATCAACAAGATGCATCTTCTCGGTCCTCAAAGTGCCCTCAGACCAGAGAGCTGCCTCAGATTCCTGGGAATGGTTCAGTACAGAACACTGAATCCACACAAACACCCAAAGGTGAGACGACTCGGGGCGCGTGCGAGACCTACGAAGTTCTAAAGGACAGTACCTCGCAAGACAACATCATCGAAGACTCTCTCTACGAAACTGTCAAGGAGCTAAAAGGGGAACGCGGCACTGTAGAAGAGTCCGCATGCGTGGCCCCCGAAATTAACAGTCAGTCAGCAAATGCAAGTGCAGTTGTCTTAACACAAGATCAAAACGCTGAACTTGCTGATGGTACACAGACGGTGGAATACGCGACAGTGGACAAGCAGAACAAGAATCGTCAGAGCAGTTCAGCGGAGCGGGTGTTGAACTCGCAACAACAGGCTGAAGAGGACCCTCCCCCACTTCCAACAAAGGATTTGGGTGAGAATGACTGCACGAATAATGATCAGGAGAGAGCTGATGCAGAGGTAGCTATAAATTCCTTTTGGTCTATATATTTTTGAAGCTCTTATTCAATGTACCAACTTTCCAACACGAGGTAATGGAGAGTGTAGCAAACAGTCCTCCTTGTCTTACTCGTCTTAACAGTACCACGTAATTTGTGCCGTTTTCAAGTTCCACAAGGTCCTTAGGAATCCCTTCTTCATTTTCTCATCAGTGACTTGAGTTAACAAATCATATGCTAACATTTCTTGCCAAAGATTCCTGCAATAACAGAAAATTTATCTTGTTTTTTAAAAAAAATATATTTTTAAACCTGTTTATCTATTCCTGAATGTTTTCAGAGGTTTATTTTGTATGTTTGAATGGGATCAGGGTAGCTCAGGTTGTCAATATTAAATGGCTGCTCTTTGTTGTATCTCTTCGTATTGATGTGCATAGAATTCTGATGAATGCTTAGATCACTTAACCTTTAATTACATTCTGAATTGCTTTAAACCCAAATACCAAAAAAAGACATTTGCCAGTTTTCTCCCTCCTCCTCTTTACTAAAGACCTTGAATCTTCCTGGGGTCCGGTTCCAAGCTGCCAGATCCTGGATAAAGAGGCCATTATTGGGGGCAGGGGGAGAGGTAATAATGTAAAACATTGTCTTAGCAACTATATACCTACATAATAGAAAACTGAGAGAACAAAGACGTTCGAAAAGACATTGATTCATTGACTCTATGAAGTTCAATTTGGTGTGAGCGAAATTAATGTGGGTATTGTTTAACGTTGGTGCTGATGTTCACCCTCTTTTTTCTCCATCGATTTGAATAGTTCAATGAACAAAGGACTCCAATCTTTGAATGGTTGTTCAAGTTCAGAAAACAAGCGAAGTTTGCAGGGTGCAAACCGAGCTATGAACATGCTTATCTGTGTGTGCGCGTGTATTTGTGTTTCCATGCATATTTATGCCAAACAGGAAGAGTAAAAGCAGCCCCGCAATGGTCAACATAAGACATTACAGTGAACATTAAAGAAAGTACAGTCAGATGCGTTGTAAAATGGTGTTTCTTTGTTCACATAACCATGCGAGAACTGGCTGCTACTGTTATGTCAGGAACAGTCAAACACCTTTGCTCTTGCAATGGGAAAAATGGATGAACAAATAAATGCAACAATACCCTTTATTTCAGTTTATTTTAACTACTTAAGAAGGATTGAAGCATGTTCAAATGTGCTTTGATTCCTGTCCTGCTTTGCAATAATCATATTAGTGATTGAGTCTTGGTTTCTCTATGTGTTGAAAGTTATGCATATCCCTGTCAAATATTGTGTTTACAGCTGAAAGCACAAAATAATTTGGATTAATTTATTTTATTACTCATGTAATTTAGCATTCTGATTTTACACCTTCACCTCTCACACCGTCTGCACGTCATCTCCACAAATGGTCTCACTTCTAGCCCCTGCACCATCTTGTGCGACGTTCCTCAGGGCTCTGTCCTTGGTCCCCTCCTCTTCAATATCTATATGCTCCCTCTTGATGGCATCATCCACAGACATGAGGTCAACTTCCACGTGTATGACACCCAACTCTACCTATCTGTCTCCACCCTCGACTCTAGGACCACTGCTGTACTGACAGAATGTCTGTCAGACATCAAGTCCTGGATGAGAGCTAACTTTCTCCAGTTGAACGTCAACAAGTCCGAGGCCCTCCTGATTGGCTCCCGTCAGCACCTCCTCACTTCAGGCACTGACAGCATCACCAGCCATGGTTGCACACTCCACCTCACTGAGCCAGTCCAGAACCTTGGAGTCTTGTTTGACCCTCAACTATCCTTTCTACCCCACATCTGTGGCATGACCCGCCCTGCTTTCCTCCACCTCCGTAACATCACCCGCTCCGCCACTGTCTCACACTGCAGGCCGCCAAAACCCTCATACACACATTCATAATATCCAGGCTTGACTATGCAAACTCCCTGTTTGTCGGCCTTACCGGCTCTTCCTTCCATAAGCTGCAGATCATCCAGAACTCTGCAGCCCGTGTGCTCTCCCTCACCAGGCTCCATGACCCTATCACCCCCATCCTCGCCCAATTCCACTGGCTTCCCATCACACAAAGGATCCAGTTCAAGATCCTGGACCTCACCTTCAAAGCCCTCCTTGGCCTTGCTTCCCCCCTACTTCTGCGACCTCCTAACCCCCTACCAAATTGCTGGCTCCCTCCACTCAGCAGGCTCCCTGCTTCATGTCCCCCATCTCGCTTGCCCCACCATTGACAGGCGGGCCTTCAGCTACTCTGCCCCCACCTTCTGGAACTCCATCCCGCAGTCCCGCCCCCTCCCTTACCTCCTTCAAGGCCCATTTCAAGACCCTCCTCTTCAACCGTGCCTTCGGTCAACCTCCTTCACCCCCTGCCCTCTACCCTCCTCCCCGATCCCAACCATCACCTCAGGTCTGAAACACTGATTGTCCAGCGCCTTGGGATGTCCTCCCGATGTGAAAGGCGCTATACAAATGTAATTTTGTTGTTGTTGTTTACACAGTAATGAGATTTTATGATCGTTCTGATGAACAACCTGTTGACACAATGCAGGTATGAGCAATGAATGGCTTGCTGAATTGTTGTTGACTGTGAGTGGAATCGTGGTTGCTATGGAGTGGAAAGCTTTTAAAATTTGATGAGAATACCTGCCCGCTTTCTTATTCAAAGCACCAGCTTTCCACTTGCACTGCAAACACTGTGATTGATGCATTTCTGAATGTGAGAGTGCTGTTGAACAATTTTAATGGTGTAGTTACTGAGATGCTGTCAAGCTTTCCTGAATCAGTGCCTGAATACTTGCCCGTTAATGATTAATGGAGGAGGAGAGGAGCGTTCTTTAATTACACAGGAATCCAATCATTCTGATATTCCTATCATTCTGATGTTTCAACTATCCCCAGGGAAGGCAGTCAATGGCTGAAACTTATCATGTTTGTAGGCTTAAGACTGTCATATTAAAACTTAAGGTTATGTGGAATTTCTGGAAGCAATCTTAAATTCATTTTAAGTTTAAGAAGGAAGTCAGTACTTTTTCAATACTGCGGAAAAACCAGTTGGCACATAAAGACTGAATTTATTTAAGACTGTTCTGGAAAATTTCACACCATCTTCAATTTCTAACCCAAAGATTATGAGAAATCTTGGGCTCCAGATCCGAATGGTTGAGCTTTGTCTGGTAACTGAATGGTGACTAAAATATGTGTTAGTTATTCTCAGGTTTTTCCTGCTTACTGTTCAAAGGAGAAAGTAGGTTATTCCCTTCACTGGCCCATGGAGAAACTTTCAAGAACAACAACAAGATTACATTTGTATAGCACCTTTCACATCGGGAGGACGTTCCAAAAAAAAGAAAGCAAAGGAATGGGGGCAAAGGCACATAATAGCGTGAAAGAAGACTTGCACATAAGGGTCTCTTTGGGCACAATGCTGGCTTGAGTCTGAAGACTAAATTGTAGTTGATTAATCTATGCGGAAAAAAATAGAAATCCATTTTTCCAAACTTGCTGTTCCCTGTGATGAGCGCTTCTTTTGTTATAATTTGCCTGATGCAGCCAAGATTTTGTTTCATCTTTTCCCCTGAGACATGTTGTGATACTTTTTCACAAACCTTGGTTCAAGCTCTAAGTAGGTGAATTATTAATATTGGCCACGTGACCTTAATACAGTTTTGCAGCTTCACACAAACTCCCTATGAATGCGTTTTGTTCTCACAAGATCACAATATTAGTTTGAATGAAGAAGGCCCTTTAGTCCATCTGATTTCATGCTTCCAGAACACGCACCTCCAATCACAGCATCAATCCATTTTTTAAATGAGTCCAGTGTCCTGAACTCAAACACCTTTCCTGGCAACCTGTTCCAGTCATTAATTATCTTCTGAGTAAAGAAAACTTCCTGGTGTCTGTCCTGAAATTGGTCTTTGCAACTCCCTGTCCTCTTGTTCTACTGTTTTGGTGCATCTTAAAGTAATCATCTGAATTTACGCTTTCAATCCCAATAAACAAATTATACATGATGTCTCCTCTGAGTCATCTTCTCTCAACACTGAAGAGCCCCAGCTTTGCTTATAGCTCATTCCTCTCACACTGGAGTTCATCCTCATTATTCTCCTCTACATTGCCACTGCCTGTAAGGGCCTGAGCAGCTCCCTTATGTCACAGTGACCAGAACTGTATGTAAGAGCTCTATACAGCTGACATTTGTTAATCTAAACTCAACTGATTTAGCAATATAGCCCAGCATCCTGTTTGCCTTGTTTATTGCTGCCTCATACTATTTTCACATTGCGACCAACGAGTCAACTAACACCCGTAGATCCAGCAAAATCTGTTATCAAATCTGTCATCACACTCACACTCGCTTGCATCAGCACCTAAGTTTGTTTGGAATCCAAAAGCTTCCTGTTTTTCACACATGAGGCTGCAGAGGAATGAGTTGCACAGGCTCAGGAGCTGGCAAATAGACAACCCACTGTGAAGCTGATTCTACCTCCCTGGTGCTCAGCAACAGATCAGAGTAGGCTGGAGCCCTCCCTCCCTGTAGCCACTTCCCATGTTTGCCGCAGGTCAATGTCACTGCTTGATCCTGGACTTTGTAAATGGGCTTTGCTGCATCCCCAGAAGCTCGTATCCAAAAAAGAACTATTTGCACACTTGTATGCCATAAGCTTGACCTGCACAGGGACCTTGCTGTCCTTGAACTGAGACAAGCTTGACCAGAGTGCCCCTTGCGCCTTCTCTGCGTGGTATTCAGGACAGTGTCCAAGCAAACGTTTGTGTCCACCACAACCGTCAGATACTCAGAATCAACAATAGGGTTGATGCCCCTTGTATTTTCTAATCAATGCAATCAAGTCTTCTCTTCATCTATGCATTGCATTTGCTGCTTCTCGTTTCATCATGAGGGCTTCATGAGGCATGAGGTCAAAAACCTTGCAGAAGTCATTGAACTCAATGTGGGTGGGTTTACCCTTAGTCTTGCGACATT